TTTTAGCTAAGGCCAAGAAGAACCCCCAGCTGCTCTTTGGACATCACTGCGAGAAGCTTTTTAGCCTGGTCTACTTTAAGACCGAAATCTACACCAAAATATGTCTCTAGTTAGACACGCCTCCTTTTCTTTCCCTTTTCGTTTAATTATATATCTCCTTTGTCTTACCCTGGTTCTAAAACTAATTAAGGATAAGGGCTATTCTGAAAGTGGAACTTCTCTTTAAATTGTCTCTTGTAAATTAGCTCATTCGTTTACCACCCCTGTAGCCTAGGGCACCCCCCTAGCGTCATTTGCCCTATTTTGGGACTCTTCTAGGACCTAGCCCACGCGAGCTAGAATCCGCCTGACGTTAAGTAGTAATAAATAAATAAATAAATAAATATCTTTACTACTTATTTGGTATGGTTAGGAGGAGCGATATACGGCAACACTAGGAGTAATTACGGAAGGCCCATATAGTAGTTCTATAGTAGTTACACATCTTGCTCGATAGTCCCTTCAACTTTCGAAAGAGACAACTATATATATACTTAGGGATAAGGAGCTTGCTAGTAAGATCATAGCCGCTATTGAAAAAGTGCCTCGAATGAAAATTAAGTCTCGGAAGATAAAGAAGCTGGTTAAGGAACATAAAGCATGTGATATCACTTTACCGTTCAAAGACCGTATAACGAAACCTAAATGGTATCTCGAATATAAACCCAACTTTGAGCTTAGAGGGAACCTTACAGAATAGCTGAGCCTAGAAATAATTCAAGCATTAATTATGGCCGATGCCCCATTCAACTACATAAGCGTGAAAAGTGTCTTTGCCTCTAGCGATACATGTACTGCGGGGTCGCAAAAGATCACACAGGCAATTTATTCCGGAACGCTGTGTGGTGATGGCGCACTAGTGCCGCTACAGTCAGATATCCATAGCCAAGAGGGGATGATTTGACCATGAAATCACCTTCATTCACTAGATTTCCCAATAAAGATATCACATCTCAATGTTTTCGTGGTTTCGCAAATATTAGATTTGACAGTGGTTTTTGACCTGAAAACCAGTCCGGGCTACATTTCCGTGACTTTAATCATTTTATATTTCCTGTTAAACACTCTTTTCTAGCCAAACTCACTTTCAATGCTTGTGAAACACCTTCCACCTAAAACCATAGTGGCTCTGTTGAACACGTACCCACATTATCCCCTACCGCCCTCTGGCTTATCCGTCACTTTCGTTTTATCAAATTTACTACAGGTTCTCGGCTGACGAATTCAGTCGTCTTCTAAGCTTATGTTTATTCCCGCTGCAGCGTCTACTTGCGCTCGCTTAAGTATCTGCACAAGAATTATTCCAATCTGAAACAAGTAAGCTTATGCAAATTCCCCACTTCACGGTAAAACGCGTATGTAATTGGGTGTATGTGGGAATCAAAACGTAATTCATGTTCGGGATTTCGGCCTATTTGGCGTAGATTTCAGAGTAGTTACTATATAAAAGTAATTCTACGAGCGGGTCTTGACAAGGATTACTGAATTGTTGTTCAATGACTTTCCATAACGTGTCTGGTAATGCTTCTGACAACAGACCAAACCTAAATATATCTTCATAGCCTGTTCAATTACCTAAGATCATGGTGTTAACATTTTCCCACAATTATACAGATATAACATGTATAAACAAAACAATCTACGGCAAAACGTACGTAAACTGCCAGGGGGTGAAATGTACTGATCAGGCGTTGGGGAGAAACATGAATGTCATAATCTATGGATCTGAATCTGTTGTACTCACGTCTGTCTCAGGAAATGATAGATCTCCACAAAACGATACTATAGTCCATTCGCCAGTGAGAGACTTCAGTCAGCTTCTATGCACGGTCTGTCATTAGTAAGAACCTATTGGAAAAGCCCCACCGTTGTAGTACCTATTCATGAATGACTTAGAATAGAACTCAAATATTCTCATAGCTCTTAGGTGTAATTTGCGTTGTTGGGCTTAGCCTCCTGGCGTGAGGTTCACAGAGTAATACACGCTATAATATTGATGTTTATAACACGCAGCCAATAAAGGAACTTTTACCGGCATTTAAAAAACCTCAGAAATATGCCTTCTAGTCATGAAGAAATCTGATGTAAGAAAGTATCAGCTGGCTTGCTAGTTTCCGTAATTCATGGGAGCATCTGTCGGATACTCTTGTTGAGAACCTTACTAACATTAATCAGTGAAATCATATAAAGTCGCTAGAATCTCCTCATTCTTGATTTCCTCTTTCACTTCTCAATCATCCCAATTTAATTCTCATTTCTTTTCTTTTGTCTTTCTTAAGAAACTCTATTAAAACCACAAAAATGCAGTTTATTTCAACTTCTCTCATTGCCATTATGGCCGCTGCTATCACTGCCGCCCCCACTCCAAATGCTCAAGAAGCTTCCGCAACTGCCGCAACCCAGCTAATCGACTTGTGGGTTGACAAAGACTTCCTTGGACTCAAATTTACTGGATCTTCGACTGTTAACACTTGTAAGTGATACGCGTTTACTTTTCAACCTATCAATCCCCTGCATGTTTAACATCAATATAACCCATCTCAATTTGCGATATTTTGAGGCTCTTATTTGTATGTATATACTGACTTGAGACCTAGGCAATAACTTGAGTGGTGGATTTCGAGATTCCGTCTCTTCAGGAAAGGCTAAGGCAGGCTTCCGCTGCACTGTCTGGGTGTAAGATCTCCAATTCCTGAGAAAAAGGTGTACTTTGGCTTACGTTATGGGTCTTACAGTGATAATGACTGCTTGGGTACCGGATTCAGCTTCAATGCGAACCCTGGTAGCAACCTATTCCCATCGTGGATCAACGATCAGTCTTCCAGCTGGAAATGCGTTACCGCATAAGCTCAAGGAATACTGACCAGATGTCGGCATGTTCATGGTAGTAAATGATAGCAGTTATCACATACCAATCACGGTGGAATCATTAGTGCTGATGGGAATATATACACTCGCTTGTCTTGTTTTTGTATTTTGATTTGGGGCCTATGGTGCTTGGAATTTGGAATTACGCTAGATAAATAAATCCCCGTGGAAGAAATTGATCACTTCTACACGGAATACTGGTCTACATTTTGTTATTACGGCGGCTGCATTGACGTTTTGATTGCCTAATAGATCAAAGGAACTTGCTTTACTTCAATCATGTTACATGCTCAAACTTCACTTTAGCTTTCATTACTTCCTTGTTCTAATTGTGCGGTAACCCACTAGAAAAGTCAAACGAGTATGCCGTTCGTGAATTAATCAAAATGCCAAATCTGATGTCGCTATATCAACCAAGGTCCTTCGATGATTTCATACTACTATAGTTTCGATATGGTTCTTCATCTAATCTTAAAGGGTATCGCCTCAACCAGTCTCAGTATTGCATATATCCAAATGTCGAATAGTCTCTCCGATCGAAGTGGTGACTGTCCTATTGACCCGGCTGAATCTCAAAAGAGGTCAGAAACATGGTTGCAGTGCTTAAATGGTCCACGTTGCAAAACGTCGCCAGGGGCACATGTAAAGTCCAACTCCAAACGGGATGAATGTTGATTCCAAAACGCTCATTTTAGCGCTCTCACTTGACTGGGACACTTACCATCGGTCTCCTTTGCCTTTAAAAGTCGTTCTGGCCAGAATTATTCCACAGGATGATTCGCTGCCCTCTCTTGATTCCTAACGGCTTTTTTATTATGTTCAACAGCTATAGAGACGCAAGAAAGTGCATATTTGGGATTGTATAACCATTAACCTCGTAATTGGGTTCAATGGTGCGCGCAATGAGACTAGTTACTTCGGTGCGTAGGGACTCATTCAGCACCATTTGAAGGAATGGTTGTTTGCTTAGAATATTGTAGTCAAAGCGAGGCAATCTGTTCCCATCCCCGATATCGATTCGTGCCTTTTGCATTTCTTCCAACGAGCGGGAAAGAAGAGAATGATCTCGCATCAATGTGAGAATGAAGTAGTAAATTGTGTTTATCATGTTGCGATTTGCCCTGCTAGCCGCACATGCCACCAATTAGAAGTGGTTTTCATCCTAAAACAAAATTACTTACCTCCATAAAAACCCCAAATCATGTAGCTGCGATTATAATAAGTGCATTGTCAAGTCGCAGTTTCCCTCTGAAATTCGTGCAGAAAATGAACGGAGAGAGGTAGCGAAGAGTGCTATGCCACCCACGATATCAATGGCAATCTAAGAAGTCTTAATTTTCATGGGCCTTGGAGGGTTTCCGATGATGTATTCTAACCTTCTTCGCCCAATGAACATCCATGGGGAGGGAGATCTCGTTGTCACAACGAACCTTTGTCGAAAGGCTATTTCTGGGAGAGTGAAATATCAAATGGGGGATGTTGAAAGTTTGATGAATATTATACACGTAGAAAACGTAATGCACGCAGAGATTCTGGCGGCAAAAGCACTCATTAATGGAGCATCGGGCGTTGGGCGTGAAGCGTTCTTTGTACGAAATGTGGAACAGTATCCTTTTTGGAGATCAACCGATATTTGCAAAGCCCGCTGGGTATTCAGTTCCCGTATCGAACATAAGAGTGATCCCGCTTAGGTTGATGTTGATATTCGCATTTTTATCCCAATGGTTATTGTGGTGGTTTACATTTAGCGAAGTGGAGCCGTTACTGACAACAAGGGTTGTGAGGCTGGTCACAATCGATTGGACCTTTTCTATTGAGAAAGTCAAGGAAAGATTGGGTTATGAGGCGCAAGTTAGTATGGAGGAAGGCTCGGGGAGAGCGGTTTATTGGCATATGCGGGAGGTACACAAGAAGGGAAGAAAGCGGCAGTAAAACGTGGACATTTAGTTCATGGCTCTATACATCCCGATCTTTCCGGTTCTGATACCATTACACTGTTTGAAGAATACCCTCATCCGTGCTACAGATTGGACGAAATCACAGCTTTTCCTTTGCCTTAGGGTTGGAATACCAACAACCTTTTGTCATATAATCAAAGTGACGATATACAACAACCTTTTTCGTAGATTGAAAATTTTGTTCTAAAATGCTCAATCTCTCTTACTCTCGTTTGACAAGCTAAAATTCCCTCCATGGAGACTCCTCCAGGGAAACCTCCGATTTCGCCCACGCCCTTTGGAAGGGGCCTGAAAAAGGTGGGAGTACGCTCGATGCCCCCACTACCCAATATACAGCAGCACTTCGTTTCTGGAACCACCAAAGCTCTAGAACGTGGTGCTATAGGCCAAATCTTCTTTGGAGGTACCGCGAAAGCCGTTGACCACCACCTAAACACTGCTCTTGATAGGGCTCCCCCGGAACTCTTGCCCTACCTCAGGGCCTTTTGCACTCAGGTGG